TTCTGCCGCGGGTTTGTGTTACGTACTTCGAGGTGTTACTGTTTAGGGTGGCTTTCGCTCTGTGCTTCTTTGGTGCCCTTCATATAGGGGAACTGGAGGCACCGAGGGCCAATAACCCAGCTGCATTGCTTCTCTCGGATGTTTCGTTATCCTCCCAGGATATCTTGCGTATCTGCCGTTTGAAGACAGATCAGGCAGGTAGAGGCGCTTAGGTTCATATTGGCTTTACGGGAGGGCCTTTTTGTCCAGGTCTTCTGCTTCAGGAGCATCTGGTGGCCCATGCTGGTCAGGAAGGTTCGTTGTTTGTGCATCAAAATGGATTGCCCTTAACCCATTATCAATTTTCCAGTCTCCTTCCCAAATGCATTAGCGGGACAGGTGGCAATATTCTTCCCATTCTTTTAGGTGTAGCTACACAGGCTAGTTTGATGGGGCTTGCGACGGAAGCGTTAAAACGGCTTGGGCACTGGGAATCTGGGTGCTTTCAGCTTTATGTGCATCTGAATTTGCTGCAATGTGCTGTATGGGTATGTGAACAGTCTGATATGTGTTTTGTTTTGTAGGAGGAGTTACTGGTTATGTTTGGATTGTTCATATATATACTGGGCTGCCAAGAGGGCGGAGAATAGATGGCCGCCATTTGGGGTTCTCGTACCACTCAGGGTACGTTGGCAGGGGTTGAGAGGGTTGTGTTGGGACCAGCTGCATGCAGAATGCGCGAGCAAAAAATGGGTCGCAAGAGTATCCTGAGAACGGACAGCAGCTAAAATAGGCAGCCCTTTGGTGGGTCCCCGCTCAGAACTCAAGCTGGTTTTAGCTCATGTTGTGCCATTACAGAGAGAACATATCTGAAGCCTATAAGACTGGTCCCACCCATACGGGCAGTCCAGATCCGAAATGCCAGCAAGTTCTCTCTGCACGAGCTCAGCCGCTGCTTTTCAGGTCCAGTGACAGTCGTACTGCATGCGGGAGAGAATAACATCTGCCGATGGCAGTCGGTTGATCTCATTCGTGCTATGAGACATGATATAGCGCGCTGTTTAGCATTGTACCGAGACCTCACGCTAATTTGGTTATAGTCCCTCGACCGGTTTGGAGAATAAGTGGTAATGGTAAGGCCTTAGAGCGCTGCAGGCAAAAAGTCAATATGACCATATCCCGATTTGTCAGGAGTCTCGGTGACTTGGTAGTTAGACACCATGAGCTGGAGGAGAGATGGAAAAGTGGCACCTGGGGAGACGACAGTTCGCACAAGGCTGATGACTAGTGACAGCTGTGCTGGGCTCTTGGAAAATGTAATGGAGAACTGTCTGTTGGGCTCTCACCCAACAGCTGACAGGTCTAATAATGTTATGTGATGGTTAATAAAGCTGTGGCCATTGCCCTTATCCACTAAAAAAAATAAAAAAATATGGAGATGGTTCATGTAGTAACATATAAGTGGTACATTCTTTGGCATTCTCATCCTCTCAGAACTTAAAGGAAAAGGTGTGGTTATGGTGCCAGGAGTGCCCTAGTACCCCCACAATATAAGAAAACTGTTTTCTGACAGTTTGCCTTATTTCCTGGTATCCTCATGGTGGTTCTTACTGCCTCCTCAGAGCCTGAAATTAGAGCTTTCCATTATCTCTTCCAAGGATAGCTCTGCTGTGCAAACTGCCTACTTACATTTGTGGTAAACCTCTCTAGCTTGCCCCCAACACAGGAGACCTTGCATAGAGCACTTTTAAGCACTTTGCCTTGTCCTAGGACCCACAAGTCTAGAGATGCACTTAGTTCACTGATGTCCCCAGATGTGGAAAACTAGGATCAGTGGGGCAGGACTCTAAAGTTGGAATTATCATATTGAAACCAGGACAGTTGAGAGACCTGTTATACTACTCCATCTCTCTTAAGTACATATGATACAGGTAAACATCATCTCATAGTCCAATAGTACTGCATGGTGGTTTGAATTCCTATATCTATAATGCAGGGTTACTCCTGCAAGTATCTGGCATGCTACACACCCCATTGGAACACTTAAAGGACCACTATAGTGCCAGGAAAACATACTCGTTTTCCTGGCACTATAGTGCCCTGAGGGTGCCCCCACCCTCAGGGACCCCCTCCCGCCCGGCTCTGGAAGGGGAAAGGGGTAAAAACTTACCTTTTTCCAGCGCTGGGCGGAGAGCTCTCCTCCTTCTCTCCTCCTCCATTCCTCCTCCTGGGCTGAATGCGCACGCGCGGCAAGAGCTGCGCGCGCATTCAGCCCGTCGCATAGGAAAGCATTTACAATGCTTTCCTATGGACGCTTGCGTGCTCTCACTGTGAAAATCACAGCGAGAAGCACGCAAGCGCCTCTAGTGGCTGTCAATGAGACAGCCACTAGAGGATTAGGGGGAAGGCTTAACCCATTCATAATTATAGCAGTTTCTCTGAAACTGCCATAATTATGAAAAAATGGGTTAACCCTAGAAGGACCTGGCACCCAGACCACTTCATTAAGCTGAAGTGGTCTGGGTGCCTAGAGTGGTCCTTTAATGGCTCTTACAAAACTCACACTGCATCGCTGGGATCTTGCCAACATTAAGCCTTTTTGTCTCACGTGCTGGTCCTTCTCACTTTTACTAGCTGTTGTCTCCTTGAGCTTTAAGGTAAGCCATAAAACTGTAGTCCAATGGGATATTTTGGTTTTGACACTTTTTGTATAACATTCTTTTCCCACCTGCTAGTCGTTTAATGTTGACACTCCTATTTTTAAACCCTCTTGCTCTCAGTGATAATCATATTAAAAGCAGTTCAATTGTTCTGCCTGGTTTCTCACTCACTGCCCTCTACTACTCTTTCACTATACTAAACAGATGCCTTCCGGTTGCACTATTTGGTCGCCAGTTATCTGACTCCTGATTTGTTTCACAAACGACTTATGGTCATCAACTTCTCTAACCTTCAGGGCAAACATGACTTTAATATTGACTTAGTCTCTTTTGGTATCTAAACATTGTACTCCATGGTTTACATATATGTATGTCTCCAAATGTCCATGTGAAGTATAGACTGTCATTGATCTGCTATATGTGGAACCATAATCATGGGCACATTAACTTCTCCCAATTAATAGCCCCATCATGAAATCATTGGATGACTCCTTAGATACCTTTTATGATTTCCTGCACGGCACCAACACCACCATGCTACTGAAAGGGTTCTCTGATGTGAGCACAGTGTAGATGGACATGTCAAATATCCATAGACACAGTTTAGAGTGATCCACTCTTCCTGGACCAATGTTTAGACACAGTTTAGAGTGATCCATTCTTCCTGGACCAATGTTGGATTTGGCGATCTGAAGATGAATTGGCATGGGAACACCTGCCTATTTGTCTGTCATTGCCCTGAGCTCTCTGGTCACTCAGATTGATATGCGACTTTGAGACAATGATAGGAAATATTTCATACTGCCTATTGAAAACTTACCTGACTCAGGAACTGACAGCAATTATGATGCGATTGCATTGGTTCATAGAACTTTGTCTTATGTGGAGCAAGAATCGTGAATCTGTGCCTGTATTCAAAGAGTACAGAATAAGCTTTGTTTTTCAGGAGTTAAAAGGCTCACTATATATCTTTCGTCCAGAGAAAACATGCGTGTGAAGGGCCATCCTGGAAAAAGATCATATAAACTGCTCGCAACTCAAATAAAGCAAAGCGGACTGAAGGTATCCAAAGTGGACCACATGCTAGATGAAAACCCATAAACTCACACTTGCCAACATTTAAAGTTAACAAAGAGGGACATTTTAATTTTAGGGCTGTGAGCTGATGTGTGGCCAGGGCTGAGACTGTCCTGATACAGGCTATGTGAATAAAATGTAATTTAGAACAAGAACAATGAATGTTATTTACACAGATTGACTTCTAAACACATTTATTGTAATTTAAAGACACATTTTGAACCCAAAATAGGGTATGTCCTTTCTAAAGAGGGATCACTTGGGAGGTATGTAAGCCATTAACCTTATTATACAATCATCTGCCATACTGTTGCCCCACACATCATCTTCTCAAAGGTAACAGGAAATTTACATAAATTCATACTTTAAGATTGTAAGCTCTTTTTGGCAGGGCACTTGTCGCCTACTGTTGGCGTACATCACCTACTGTTGCTGTATGTCAAACATGCTTAGAATTGTTGTCTTATTTTACATATTGTACAGCCCTGCAGAAGAATCATACCTCCCAACAACTGAGAGGGAAAATTGGGTCGGGTAGTTGGGGCCCTGATTGGTTGTCACAGCGTAGTTACCTGTCACTACCGATGCCCAGAAAAGAGTAAGTCTACCCATAGACAGGCTCCTTGCTGGTGCCCAGCATTACGGCTGCCGAAGCACTCCCTGTGTGATTCTAGTGCCCGTTGTAGTAGGGACAGTTTCCTGGTGTCCCCTGACATGGGACACCAGGGAACTAAAGAGGGAGAGGTCCCCAAAATTAGGACTGTCCCTGAGAGAGCTGGACTGTTGATGTTATATAAATAATCATAATTCTTGTCAAGAAACCAACCCTATCACATGGAGTTTGTCTATGGATTATGGAATACTGACTATTTATTTTTTTAATTAAGTGCCAATCCTCCACAAGAACAAGTTTGGTAGCTTCTCTTTTAATTGCCCAGTAGTTCAAAGGGGCATCTGTCATAACTAGCATGACTTGGTGCCACTTATATAGGATGTAGAAATTAATCTACAAACTGTGCTAGAAAATATAACTATAGATTAAAAAATAAAATACCCAGAGTAAAGCAAAGCCCCCCACCCCCCTCCACCTACTAAAACAAAGTGCATTTTAAATAAAAATGAAAAACAACCTTATTTTTATTCCTTTTTATTATTATTTTATTTTTTCCTGGTTTTAACTATACACAGCAATAAGCTGGAGCTGTTTTCATGTTTGTGGCTCTCATTGTCACACACTGCACACATTGCAGCCTGGCCATGCTGCCGCGTGACGTCATCGCCGCTGCGCCCGTCGCGCCGGCCTGGTTGCCATGGTTTCCCGGGGGAAGGTGTGGGCCTAGCGCAGTGTTGTGAGCCTGGCCTGAGAATCATGGCCAAATTTGAGAGGCGGGAATCGGGAGGGCCGCAGGCCTGGTCGGAGCTGCTGAAAGACATCCTGGGAGAGTTCGAGCGCTGTGTCGGGAAGGTGAGAGAGAATGTATTGAAATGCTCATCCATGGCACAGGCTGGCTGCATCAATACACCTATTATTGGCAGCATGGGTGGAAAGGCTCTATGGCATATGGCCAAGTCAGGGCTCCTCAAACTGCTGAACTACAACTCCCATGATTCTCTGGCTATCTATGTAATGCAAAGCATCATGGGAGTTGTAGTTCAGCAACATCTGGAGGGCCACAGTTTGAGGACCCCTGGGCCAAGTTATGTAAAAAAAAAAACAAAAAAAAAACCCCAATAATATTTAGCTTTTTTTTGTGATTTTATAAAAAATTTTTAACCCAAATGCCAGACACGATTTGCTTTCCATGGGTTCATTCAGTAAACCGTGATTTGCAAACAGAATTGCATAATTTAGGCCTAAAATGATTGGTTTGGCAAGAATTCTACAGTTACAGCCCGGCTGGTTTTTACCACCTTTTTGCCATTTTTATTTTTTTTTGGTTTTTAGTTTGTTACCATTTGCAGTTTGGTAAATTAAACCCCTGGTGTGTGAACGCACGCTCACTCTGAGATGTACGTGTGTGGATAACAAAGAAGTGAAATACAAGAAGATGCCATGTATGAAAGGTGTCTGCATCAAAACCCATCTGTGGAAGATCTCACCAGAGCGTGGGATCCTCAACAAATCTTATTATTTATAGGGTACAAGCGACTGTTGCACATCCTGCAAAAATATGGCTTTTCCTTTTAGCCGTAGCGAGGTACAAGTGGAAGGCCATTATAGCTCAGCCCTTTGGCAGAATTTAATATGTATTATTCCAGTGTAGTTTTCACATTGTGTTTTTTTTTTCATACTAAATTCTAATCTCAAACATGGGTGTTCCACTTTAAAATTGACCACACAAATGTGAAAATGAAATCCTAGATTTGAAGCCTTGAGTGGATAGTAAGCATTGTTTTAGATCCCGTCTTCATCTCGTTAAAATGCTGTGTACCTGTAAAGACATATTGATTTGAAGATGCACTTTCACTTGTGGTCATTTATTTTTTGGACAAGACAGAATGTCCTGGCAACCTGTCTGTGCGACAGGTGGTATCTGGGGGAAAGGAGTAAGGGAAACGAGTTTACCGAATATTTGTCTTCCGTGGGATCCTCTATAGATATGCCTGTGCATGTGCAATGAAGTGCTATAGGCAATCTGTTTTTGCTTTGTTCAACCTTTTGCCATATTTGAGTGAAATGCTTTATACAGGAGAGAAAGTAGTCCTTACTTTGCCTTGTAATATCTTTTAATAATTGGAATGTCAGTGAAATTACAGTGCAACATGTATGAGATTTTCATAGACTCTTTTATTAAAAAAGATGTGACCGTGCCACATTGACTGAACTCGTGCTGCACTACACTATGTTTGCAAATGATCTTTTAAACTATCTTTTTGATGTCTATGCGGATGACATTGATAATACTTATATCCTTTTGCTCTATTTACTCTGCCCCTGTTTCCTATCTCAAGTTATTTTTAAAGAATTAATACAATTACAGATAAAGAGATCCAAACACTAGTGGGGTTATATATATTTAATATTCCTCTCCGGTCAATAATACATATTTACCTGTTAAAAGCTCTCATCACTACTGAATGCATTAGCAGTAATAAAAATCCGGGTTCTGTGGGAGATCCGGCAAGACTATGGGATTCTCAGTTAATCTACCTTCCTATGTATGTGCAATAAGATTGTGAAGAAGATGGCTTCTCTCAACCATTGCAAGCTAAAAATTACAGGATGTGGCTGTGCAAATACTGCCTACTGTCACAAACAGGTACATATTAATGACATCAGTTCTCCCCCTGTTCAGATAGAATTCATTGGCTGAGATAATCGGCTGACACACTCAGCTAATGAATTCCTTTCAAATAGGGACAAAATTGTTATGTCTAATGCAAATGGGAAACTTCACTTTAGGTATATCACTAGAGGAGGCCGGACCTTTGGCACCATGACAACTCCAGCACGTTTTGATGCTCTGTGCTATGCCATATTCATATGTAGAACTTGGCTCACTTACCCTGACTCACACTGAAAAAGTTAACTTCTGCAACACGTTTAAAATGTGTCATGTGCCTATCAAAGCAACCATACAAAATGAGTGCTTCTATAGGAGAATATAAAATGTGTAACGAAATTGTCACTTTTTCTCTCTCTCTTATTTTAAGCTTACATTGAACAATGATGCTGTGAATTTTAGCATTAACTGGGAAAACCTTCAGGGCCGGCAGGATTTGAAGCCATCAATCCTTTGCTCTGCTCTTCAACAGCACATCACAGATTTGCAAGTAAGATCCATTCTCACTCTAATTGTACTGTTCTTTTCCAAAATGAATTATTCACTTAAACATCATATTAAAAAATAAAATTGCAAACGTCAGCCTGAAGCAGTCATGTGTGACTCTACCAGAGTTGAATGTTTCATCCAAGTCTGCTATTTTGGCCTTATATTTGCAATATTTTGACATTCATAATTACATTTTAAAAGTGTGTGTTTCATAATGTAAAAGATTACCAAGTACATGAACAACTATGTATGACTTTCTAAGGGTTTAGAAAAATAAGCTTTGGCAACTAAAGGGTGACGTTGTAGAACATTAGTAGGGTTTAAAAGGACAGCCTAAATTCTCATATTAACAACTATACATGAATAACTATGCTGTTTATTTGCAATGCTCCCTTATAATGGTATATATTGTCAATGTACTGTATTATGTTCATTAATGGCTAGCAGGACATACTGTATATAGAGCACAGTGCTGTGAACTTGGGGGGCACTCTATGTATCATAACTACATGAGCTCATTGTAGTAGTTATGATGCAAAGATTATGTGGGTGCCATCGCAGTGGTCTAAGTTAAACAATTTCCAGCATGTTATACTTACAGCCAGATATGTAAGAAAATGAAAGACTGACAGAAATAGGGTGGGTTAGCCAAGCCCGCCTAGCCTATCATTACATCCTGCATCAGCAAAGCATCGCAGAGAGACTGAGATCTGTGCATCGGGACCGCCATAGTTTTAGTTATAGTGCTTAGAGTTCCTCATTTATTCCCATTTAGCATGTCTATCTGCATGATTAACACAGATAACATACTCTGGTGAGTACAAAAGAGTATTGTCACTTTTAGTTTATTTTCACTTAACTCTTATCTGGGTATTTGTTATTGTAGTAAATGAACCAGCAAATACCATTCATCTTGTTTTCATTACCACAGAAATCCTAAATCTGCAGTGATGTTACAACTGCAAAGGATTCTGGGTGGGTATATGCAAATTAGTTTAACAAAGATAACAAATGTGCTTAGGGGTCGAAATGTCGATTTGTTTGGAGATTTTTTTTTGCACATGTAAATTTGCATGTAAAATAAAATAAGCACATTTGAAGACCTGTGAGTGCACCTTATGTTCATATTATTTATATATATATATATATATATATATATATATATATAAAATTATAACCCTCTAATCACATATGCTATATTGGTGACAGTTGGTCTTTTAAATCACCCAGCTATGGCTACCATATTCTGTAAATCCCATGCATATGCACCATCAATCATTTTCCCAGGATTTCCTGCACATATGCTAATTTTACATACAGGCATTGTGGGAGATTTGGAATTTGCAAAACATGTCCCATGACTGGCAGTCATTAACATCCCTCTAACCAGTGCATAACAGGCTGCTGCCCATGTTTCAAACCGTTAAATGGGCCAGCTCAGTAGAATACTTGGGAAATACAGCTACCCAGGATGGGACATAAACATGCATCAAAACCCAAATCTTCTTAAGGGACATTCCACTGCCCAAATGCAAAATAAATAAAAATCACTGTTTAGTACATATACCCCAAATGAAAACTTGCATGCATGGAATTATTTCATTTTTTCATTGAGCTGTATCTAAAAACAGCTTGCAAAAGTTGCTGTTTCGCCTTTGCAATCCCTCCTCTTCTAACTTCACTCAGACTTAATTTGGTTGTCCAATCACTGATTTCCTAATGCAACTCACTGAGAAGTCTTTGCACGGCAGGTGCTCTATTGCTGCCTCTTAAGTTTAGCTCCACTGAGCTAAGCAAACCAGGACGTAACAGGACCTGTTGTCTGCTTGAAAGCCGATGGGGTGTAATTAAGTTAATTTATAAATGTTGTCATAAATTACTTTAAGGGTCTGAAGTGTCCCTTTAACTAAATTACTCTGGTGATTACAACTCTGCAGAGTAACCTAAAGTAATATTTACTAACCTAAAGTAATATATACTAAAAATTGTTTCATTATTTTTCCTTTTACTACACTTTAATTTTATTTTGTTGTGGTTTGCAGTACAGAACGTATAATTTTTTCCCCCATCCTCCATCAGCCACTTGTAGATAAATTAAAAACCCTTGTGGATGTGGAAAGTAAGAAGACTGCTGAAGTGGAAACCATAGGAGAGCTATCCCTCGAATCCAGTGCTATGGACCATAAATCCGAAAGTTTGGAGAGCTCTGGAAAGACCATGTCAAAACCTAGTCCAATTAATATAAACAGCAGCAGTTTATCTGATCCTTCAGTCGTCCAGATAAAGGCAAAAAAATCAGAAGTAAGTTCTAGTATTCAACAGTAATTTTAACAAAATGAAATTTTTCTTATCCTATTTTGGAAAATAAACAGTCCAGCATAATAATGTTATCTCTATGATTTTTGTATGGAGAGAGCACAGAATCAGGAATAGATCATCCACCGAGATTCCCATAAAAATAATCATTACTATATGTCTGATGGTGTTAGATTGCTAGCCATCTACTCTACTCAATGAGTTAATCTGAGTATAGAAATCAGTTGATAGTCTCTGCACGTTTCCCAGGATTCCCTGCACATATGCTAATTTCCCCAAGAGAGGTTTCTTCATGGAAGCAGGCTAGGATTTAAAGAAGTTCTGACACTAATGGAGGCTGCGCCTCCTTTCAAAATCCCACTCCGAGGTGACAGGTCCACTTGAATGTTGGTGACCACAGAAACAATTTCTAGTGCAATCCTTTACCATATTTTCCTAAAAGTCGTCTTTTAAAAGAGACAAAGTAGTCCCTACCGTCTTATGATCTCATCTGACTTAATTAGAATCTCACTGCTTTTCCAATGCAGTATTAAGTGACATTGGTCACCTCAAAACATATTTTTTTTAAATGCTAATCCTTTCATCAAGTACTGAAAGGAAATAGATTGTATTTTAACTGAAGTATATGTAAAAGAAATGATAAAAGCTCATTGCTACCTTTTTAAATATGACATGGTGCTTCAGCCATATACAAGCACCCTGAGCCAGACAGTGTTTGAAAACCGACAGACTCTATGATCTTTCCTGGTTCACGCTTTGCACATAGGCAGGGAGGACCATAGAGACTGTCTTCTTCTGACTGCTCCTCTTTGGACCTTTTACTCTGTGGCCACGCACTCTTGCACATAGATGTATAAGTAGGACTGTGTATGCATGCATGTACAAGTGTCTAACTATGTATGCATTTGTGAAGGTGTAGGAGTGTGATTGTTGGTATGTATAATAGTTTCTGAGTATATGTTTTAGAGTGAGTGTGATCCTATGACATTTTTGAGGATGTATAACAGGGGGAACAATATGGAGATATAGTATGGTGTGTATGTATTCTTGTATGAGGGCCCACTTGTGTGTGTTTGTATAAAAGTAGTGACAACACACTTTTTTTTTTTATATTTGGACTAATGAACACTAGCCATTCATGACACGGAAGAGTATTGAGAGTTTGTGTGCAGGTCTTATTTCTGTTTTTCGTGTTTTTATTTGCTTTTGTATTACACGTAATGTTATAGTCCTGCTGCCCCCTATTAAGAGTGAATTTGGATGTAGAGATGAATGAGAAAGCATCTTCCAACCTTTTGGAGATTTTGGCTGGAAGCAACACAGTGAATTGTTAGTGTACGACTCGCATACGATGTTTGCCTTGTTGTATAAAGGTAGCCGTGTGTGTGTGTGTGTGTATGTTGTGTGTGTGTGTGTAGTATATGCTTTGTTTATTTTACTATATGTATGTGTTTTCTGATTTTTAGATTTTGTAGGGTAATGGCATTGTATAGGGAGAGCTAAATCTGCATGGAAGATGTTTGTGTGAGGGCTGTGGGATGAACACTGTGCTGCTGGAACATTCTTTGGTTTATGTAGCACGGGTGCTGAGTGATATGAGGGACATATAGTTGTGTCTAGATAGATCCAGGCAATTTTAAAGGAATACTATAGTGTAAGGAATACAAACGTGTATTTCTGACAGTATAGTTCTAAAACAACAGTTTAGGCTTATAACGTATTAGTGCTCTTGGCTGCAAGTGTGGTTATACAGTGGACAGTACATAAACAATTATACAATTTGATGTATTTTATATCATGAAATGTAAATCCTCTATCCTTCCCGAGAATGAGAAAATAGTTGGAACTGTACTTGTATGACCGTGTATTCAGTGCTGCAGTAACCCTGTTGGTATCCCTAAAACATGGTGCTTTAGAACATGTACAGGAAAAATACATCAAAGAGAAGATTGCTTTTTATTTTTCAATTTCCCTTGGCCATTGTGGCAACAGCTGTGTGCTGCTCACCTCCTTTCATTGTTACATGTAAGGCATTTGCTGTTATGTTACAGCTACAATGCCTTTTGTGCCCTGGCCTTTAATTCTTCTGGGTCTCAACTCCGCCTACTATCCCTCCTCCCCGTTTTATGGACAATAATACATGCTCAGGTTTCTTTCATAATATTGTATGTCACCATAGATGCCACTACAAGAGCCCTGCATTTACCTTTTCCAGGCTCATCAATCCTATTCCAGGTCTTCTTTATTTCTGTCCCTAAATTGTCTGCTACAAGTTCAACTCTTGTGTCACTGATCAGTCCACAAAATGTCTGATCTGCATTGGTTAATGGAAATTTTTATTATCACTTGATCTGGGAGGCAGTCAACAGTAAGGACACATCCTGATTTGCGTTGGCTGATGAACGCATTACCCTTCAATTTTTCTATGTCCAAGTCTCTGCTGCCTCTTTCTGTCACAGCTGACTTGCTTCTTGTAGATTCTGAGCGGCTAAGTCCAACTGAGGTGCAAACTGTTCAGCCATAGTCTGATTGTGTTTATTTGATGAACATAGCTTACATACAAATCTCACCAGACCCTGTTGTCACATATAAGCGGGCATTTTAATTGGCACACCTGCTGGCTTGCTAAGAGTTGTGTGTGTTGTTCACTACAGCCGGAGTGCCCAACACTGCCTATTAATAATACGACATATTTATAATCTTCCGCTCTCAGACATGCTGTATCATATTTACAGTTGTATGCACGAGATAGTGTAGATCCCAAGAGACTGCAGGATCCTTTGTGAATTTTCCTTGCACATGCACAATAAGATGCCATGTGTTGTACATTGTGTGAGAAGTTCTTTATTCCCATTGGCAAGATGCATGAAGTTAGAGCAAGCTCTGCTTTTAGACACATTTTTCAAAAAGATCTGCATGCTACTACTTTTGTCTTATGATCCATTTTGATTGTGCTGGAATTTCACTGAAATTCCAACACAATATACGTAATTTTTTAAAATTTGTTTTCAGAACGATTTTACATAAAACTTAATGACATTACTTTCATTGACAGTCTTGCGGTGTTTGTATAAGGTGTGTGCACACTGATCTACATTTTTTATTCAGCTTTAAAAAAAAAAAAAAAGTCTGATCGTGAGTTCTGTTTACATTTGTATCTGCACAATGATCTTCTATACCCCGTCTTAGTTTTTTTTTTTTTTAAGTGTTTGAAATGAAAGGCAAGTTTCTAAAGTAGATGGAAGATTCCATGCTGTGTGAAGTTTTGTACAGCACCAATTCCTACTCCCCCCTCCTCTCACTCCATTACACTTGCTGTTCTTATTCCCTGTAGATCGACAGAAGAATATTGGCATTCATCGAGAGAAAGCAAGCAGAGATCAATGAAAACAACGTCCGGGAGTTCTGCAATGTTATTGATTGTAATCAAGGTAAATGCAGTTAGACTTGCGCCATTACTCAGCTAGCTCTGTCAGACACGGGTAGAAATCTGTGCTCTCAGTCTCTTTTACTTGGATTCATGCTGTATAGAATAGTAAGTTAGGTTAAATTATTTATAGAAGACCTGCTTACCTTTCATTTATACAGTGTTTAACTTGGATTTGTGTAGAGATTGTAATAAAGGTTATATTACATCTAGGCATGTAGCAATTAACAGCAACAATAGTTTGTGTGAGTAGGCTTGCTAGTGGCATAGATTCATACATTGATGCTGTATTTAGGATTTATAATTAGGTTTCAAAGTAATACGTAACTTTTTTCTTAATTTTTTTCCTTAGAGAAATAGATATTAAATATGCAGTGCTTTAGACTTAATTGGGAAAACATGTACTGTTTTCGATGCTTTCTGTTGCATTTTCTGTCTAGAATTTGAATGTTAGCACCTGAATAATGCAGATAGATGCAGTCCGCAGCACCCACTTACTATCTACTACAGTAATAGTCTAATGATTGCACGTAAAAAGGTGTTTGCTGCAGTAGCAACGTGAAATAGTGGCTTTTCCTTCCTTGTCTTACACTATTCTAGTGGTATCTGAATTCACTTTTGTTTCTATTAACTCCTTAAGAACACATGGTGGAAATTTTCCATCATGCTGGCCTTTTGCTTCTTAAGCTGTGTTTTTAAGGGGGTTAAATAGGAATAACCTGAAATAAATGTGTGTTAATTGAGGTTTGTTTTTTTCCCTTTGAGCTGTATGTAGTATGGAATTACATTACAGTAGTTTGTCTGTACAAATATATGTAGTTCCCTTAGCATTATTCTATCCGGTTCCATTTGTGTGATGTGGCAGCAAACTCTTTAAGATTTACTTACTTGAAAGTGTATCATTAGCAAGGTTACACTCTGCTACAATGCTAATGTGCCGTAGAAGTAATTGTAGTCATTATTTTTATTGTTCGAACCTTAGAAATATAAATTACTCTTGTATTAAACATCTCTACAGAGAACAGCTGTGCCAGAACAGATGCAGTTTTTACCCCATACCCTGGATTCAAGAGTCACATTAAAGGTATTTGAATAGTGTCAACTTTTAGCTTGTTGAATAGACAAAAATGTGGCAGGCGATGAGCGGACACCAAACCATGGTAACAAGAAAAGTATTTTGCTCACGCCGAACTTCCAGTTTGTATCTTAAAGCACAAGCTGTATTCTCAGCTTTGTTTTCTGGTCTGGACAGTAGCGTGTGTTTAAGCTTTGTTAAACCCCCAACAGTCTTTGGCAAGTCTGCTTGGAGACTACTGCATGTATCTACAACATATATGATAAATTATTGATCTTTAAACTCTATGTCCCCTTAATTGTGTTCTTATCTTAAAACATATTATAAGAGTAATATATTTAAAGAACACAAAATAAGTGGTGTATGTCTGTGAAACATAAAGGCTTTGATGCAGTGCTTAAAGGGACTCTCCAGAATCCTGCAGTGCCCACCCCCCATCCCATGTTGCTGAAGGGGTTAAAACCCCTTCAGGGACTTTCCTGAATTCAGCGCCGATGTCCTTTGACGCTGGGTCAGGCTTCGCCCATGCTTCTCCCCCACTGAAGTCAGCCGGCGGGGGAGACCTAATGTGCGCATGCGTGGCAATGGCGCGTGCACATTAGACCTCCCCATAGGAAAGCATTATTCAATGCTTTCCTATGGGGAGTCCGACGGCGCTGGAGGTCCTCATGCATAGCGGAAGGACGTCCAGCGTCGTTTAAAACGCTTTTCGTGACAGCCATTAGAGGAGGACTTAACCCTGCAAGGTAATTATTGCAGTTTATAAAAAAATGCAATAGTTACACTGGCAGGGTTAAGGGCGATGGGAGTTGGCACCCAGACCACTACAATGGGCAGAAGTGGTCTGGGTGCCTGGAGTGTCCCTTTAAATGCTCTTTGACATCATTATGGCTGCAATAGAGAAATAAAAAAACTGTTAATATTAAAAAGCAGAATAGTGTATGTCTGCCTGTTCACATTCTCAAAAACACAGAATATGTTCCATGTTAGCTGCACATTAGGAGAGAACTTTTTTCCTCGGGCAAAATATCCTGCATTGTGGCCACCGAGAAATTGGAATCCTTCCCACCAAAAAGAGAGAAGGTTAATAATACCTGGTGAAAGTCTGAGGAGACAGTATAGCATTTTCTTTTATTGTATGTTTTATCTTTAAATCATGTGGACATCACCGTACATTTCCAATGTTAAAAGAAAGCTGTGGCCAGCATTCAGAGTGATTTGTTTAGGCCAAAATCTCAGGAATTGGAAACGTTCCTCAAGTTTCTTTTGTTTTGTTATTTTGGCTTAAGATCTGAATTGGATTCTCAAAAATGTACATTTAAGCAAGTAATCCCTGCAAGTGTTATTTAATGTGTGGATATTATAATAAGAGACCATAATTACTTTATTTATAAAATTGATGACTGAAATTGACATGTATTACAATATACCAATAGGAACCGCACTCAATCCACATAAGTCAAGGGTCCTAAACTAGACCATAGGCCAGCACAATCCCAACAATTTTAAATACCGATAATAGAGAAGAGCTTCGGGCACATTTATTAGAACAAAAGGAACACTGCAACGTTTCAACCCAAAATAGGGTCTTTGTCAAGCTTGAAACACTGCAATCCTGGGTCGAAACACTGCCGTGTTCCTTTTGTTCTAATAAATGTGCCTGAAGCTATTGGAGTGCTTGGACCTCTTTTCTATTACCTGAAATTGACATATGAACAGCTTAAAATGTTGTCCCCACTGCGAGAATATGAAAGTAAATCTGGTTCTTGATCTTCTCTAAGTCTCCAGGGTTGTAAATACATACGGACCTCAAACCAGAAACGATGGTACAACAGGATCCAGCTCAAGAACTAATCCACTTCAGCACGAATGCAGTAATCAAGCTGTGGATGAAAGACTTCAGAATATTGAATGCCACCTACGATTAAAGCCTGGTAATGTATTTAACAGACCAGCATTCTTCAAATCTTTTGGGATGTATAGTATGGTTTTAACATTCAAAACGGTAACACTGTTACTTGTTTTTCTCATATGACCAGGAGCCATTTTGTGCACAATATCTTCTCTAGACACCGCTAATAAAACTAAAAGTTACAGGAAAGATCTGAAAAGCATAACATATCCCCACCAAATATAAAAGCAGTATTTTGGGATTTTCAGTCTGCTTGGCAAATTTTCATATACTCTAGGAGCAAAGGACAAAATTTAGAGGGATAGAGTAAAAGATTGACAAATGCCATAGAATAGCTGCAATAAAGCCTGCATCTCGGCATCCGGGAGGGAAAAGAGTTCCCAAGCAAGGCATGTCTTTTAGAAGAGTGGACGCGAGGTAGGTGGGTACACACTTAAACCCTGCATCGGCCCTGGAGAGGAGGTTTAAGTTTTAAGAAATAAACTATATCATATTTCTGATAAATTACATATGATCACTTTCATTCAAGAACTCGTTAAGGTTATATTTAGCGTTTTATTTAGGGCTAGAATAAGATTTGGGTTTAGATTTACCTCAACCCCAAATGTTCATCATCCTTTTGTTTGGCTGCTTCCCTGGTTATTGTATGGGAGTGGGCTGACTGTGTGCTTCAGATGCAGAGCAGCTTATATTCAGACTAGAGTACATGGAAGATATGATGCTGTATCACATCCTCTCGTCCTTCCTCGTCAGTACACCATGAGAGCATGCAAGCATAGCAACGAGTTCTGCTTTGAATAAAATAAATATAAGGGGTCCAGGCGGTGTATCACAATCTGTTTGAGATACATTTGGTAAGAAGGTGCTGATAGAGTACATGTTGGTCAAAACACTGAAATCAGAAGTACTTTGAATAATCCATAATTAGTGATACTTTTTTGAGCAATATAGAATAATCGGTAATAGCGATACTTTAAGCTAGATCACAGCAGCCATGTTTCCTAACACAAGTGGTATGTGGTAAATTGCTATAAAGTATTGTAGAAACTGCATGATCATTATCCACTAGATACTAGTTTAATACCATAAAACAACTGCCTTCACACAAATAAAGCACTTCAGTTTGGTGAAGCCTCTCACATTTGTGACCGTTTATAAAACTCTTATATTTGGGGGCAGAAACACCTCCTTGGCTTTCTTCCTTATCCGTTAGCTCCATCTGCCTTCCTGCTTCTCATTGAGAAGTAGTCGAAAGCCAAGAGTGCATGTGCGTGGAGTGATCCTTTACTTGACTGATACTATTATACGATTACAAGTTATGGCTAAAAACCACTTCCATTCTGCTGAAAAAGCAAATCTGTTGATGGATGTCGTCTACATCTCACAATCCAATACACTGTATGGTCAGTGACAATCAATATCCACATATAACAGGGATAGTGTATTGAGGAGTGTCAATATTTTTATACGTAGAGTTTCATGTTATCTTTTTATTTTAGGGGGTCCAGTGCCAACAGATATTTATCAGAGGATTAAAAAGCTAGAGGACAAAATCCTGGAGTTAGAAGGCATTTCACCAGAGTACTTTCAGTCTATGGTGAGTAACGTATATATTACATATTCTGTTGCCTCCTCTTTATCAGTAAACTGCAATCATTTTCAGAGACAAACTGTCGGGACGTGATGTTCCATTTCTTGCGGCTCTTAGAGAAGAAATTGTTAGTTGATGTTGCTTGTAATGAATTTGAGCCTTGTAGGAATCTGCATCTCGAGCAATGTGATCTTTTATAATATGATTGTGTATTCTAAGATTGCATATTATTCTCAAAGTAAATTAAAGCATTTAAAAAAAAATAGTTGACAGTCCATTCCTAAAGAACGTTTTTTTAAAATACTTTATTAGAACAGCAGCAAACCAGTATTGCTAAAGAGCCACGGGTACAGTTTACCATGTCAGTTGGTTCTGTATAAGCACAATGCAGAAACAGAAGGAGGGGAATTACAAACCACAACTATTTATATTAGATGGATTTGGCTTTCGTTTGTTCTTTACAAATACCACATTTTTTTGAGGGGAAAAATAATTACCATTAATAATTTTTAATTTTTTTTAACTGTTTTTTTTCTTGTTTACAATATTTAATCGTTGCTGTCCCTTTAACCGCTTAATACACAAACACAGCTTCAGTTTTCTTGTTACCTTGCTTCTATTGTTTGCTCCTCTCTTTCAGAATCTGTTCTTCTCTTCATTTCTGATCTATTTCTCTTTAAAACATAAGACAAAGTAGGGTTTCTTTTGTTAATATCATGTGTTCTACTGTAATAAAATTAGCTTAACTGTACTTGACAACATCTGCTGAGTACAACAATACACCATATTTATATTACTTTTTATTAAAAAAAAAAAAAGTAATATCCTTAATCCAAAACCCGTATCTTTAACCTCACCCAACTCCTAACCAGAACATTAATCCTAAACCTGGAAATATTTTTGGAATGATTTCCACTGCTCATTTCAGCATAGGTATTCACTTGTTATCCCTAATCTGAACCCTAATCCTAGAGGGAATCCCTCTGCTAATATCAGTACGGTTATTAGCAAAGTGCACGCTAAGCTAAAACCGTACAGAGCAGTATGTTGCCACCATCTGCTGGCTGTTTTTAATATGACAGGCAGATACCTGTTATACGTAACACTATCACGCACATTATATTTTGATCGGTGCTGGCAATCAAATGGCAGTGTTTGGCATCTCCCAAACACAGGCTTTACACAGAGAATCATCATAGCTGAGCGCGATTGCTCACCTGCAGTGTTCTCAATAGATTTAAAGGGCTGTTTAATAAGCTGTATGCAGCACTAACAATCAGGCTGGGTCCTTAAAAATGGACCCATCTGACAGAGGGAAGCTTCAGGTATTTAACCCAGCTCACAACCCATTTAAATGTCTGTATACATCACTCACTCTAAGCATGGCAGTCAGAGCAACAATCCACTAATTCTGTCCCCAGCTAAGAGAGGAGAGCCCTGGGTATCGGGTTATACCCAGGGTTCCCATCGGTAAAATACTGCATGACAGAGTTATTCCATCATTGGTCCTTAAGGAAAGAATGATGAAATAATTCTGCCATGCATCGGTTAGGGATTCATTTGTAGAAGCGCTTCTGGGTCGCTTAGCTGATGCTGGACGTCCTCACCCTGTGGATGAGGACGTCTGCTTAAACCCCATATCAAAGTATTGATGAAATGCTTCTATATGGAGTTGTCCTAATGCGATTGCAACGCTTGCCATGCTGGCGAGTTAGGTCTCCCTGCCAGCTGATGTAGGCGGAGGTGGTACTGACCCAGTGCTGACTGACATCGGCTCTGGATTCAGGTTAGTAAATTAAGGGATTTGGCGCAGTGCAGGGGTGGGAGCACGGAGCACTATAGTGCTAGGAATACAATTTTGTATCCTAGCATATAGTTTCCCTTTAAGCTGTGCATGGTTATTTGTGTTTGTGAATGAGACCAGTTATATCTTCTAGGCAATACTATCAGTAAGTGAAGAATATGTGTAAAGTGACCTCTTAGTACAAAATAAAAATGTATACAAGATCACTGCTCTTAATGGAACACTCCTCTGCCCAAATGGGCACAAACAAAATGACTATTTGGTAGATACACCTCCAGTGAATGCATGCATCTTCTGACATGCTCTCTCCACCAGAGTTCTGGATAGAGGTCTACTCAGGTGTGCTTAAGTAGAGCACACTTGTCACGTCCGTTAGGAAGCATTTAGAAACCTACCTGGCTGTTTAATTATAAAAGTGCAGAATTAAGTATTTTATGGGGGTGGAGTGGTGGTTTAACGCGACAAGGCTGTGGGATGACACAAACCGATTCCCTAAATTAGTATGATAGTAGCTATGTTTTCTGTCTGGCTACTTTGGCCTTAAATTTGAAATTTACTTTGAATTCTGACAGTTCTCACCGAAGTGCATACCCCTTCAGTCCACTAATAAATGATATTACACAACACATTAGATTGTTTCCAAAAGTTATGTCAAAGAGGCAAAACTCATAGAATATTCAAACATTGTCTGTTTTTTTGTTTTTTATAGGATGTCCCTAATAAAAGGAAAAAGTCTCAGACAGCACAGGTAAGGACTAACTACAATTTCTGCTCAATTATGTAATTTGTGATTTTAGGTTTTCAAATTATTTTTACAGAATTTAGAAAAACCTATAAAAGAAATACTAAATGGTAATTTAAATATTAGCATACAGGACATTTTGAATGCAAGTGAGATTTAAATGTAATATCAGAATCTGTATGTTATTGGACTTTCTATGTTATTAGACAAAGCAGAAGTGAAGGCTTCTCATAGAGATGCATTGCATTGGTCTTTGAGATCCTTGTTAGCAAGGATCTACCATGGGTGGAACAGAGCTAGAACACCTTCTAAATGCTGGTTTATTTCTAATGCTGGTGTACTGCATAATCTAGTTCGATTTCAGACCCATGCTGTTCACTTAAAATTAATAGGGAACACATTTGAAAAAAGTACACAAAAGACTAAAAAATGTCTAGAGCACATGCCTGCCTTTATAACATACAACTCTGTTACTGTGAAATACACTTAGTCATTGTGAAGGATGGGCCTTCGCGACTTTATTTACTAAATTGTGATTGTTAGACAATCTGTTACAAGCTCAAAAATTGAGGAAAACAAAAGCAGAAAAAAATAGAAAAATCATTTTGGGTTGCCAAAAAAAGGAATAACTGATAACCCAGTCCACGATGTAGACTAATCATCCAAACCAATCTATACACATGTGTATGTAACTTTGCAATATAGTTCAACCAATACTATAAGGTCAGGAACACAAACGTGTGTTACTCACCCTATAGTGTAAAAACCACCATTTATGTGACTTGCTTCCCCCCCCCCCTTAAAAGGTAAGAGAACCACATAGTTCTGCTGACCCTGACACCAATCAGCCTCCTTGATTGATATTATCAGAATTGATGATCTCAGCCAATCCAGTGCTTTCCATAGGAAGAGCATTGGATTAGCTGAAATCATCAAGGAGGAGTGGCTGGAGCCAATCAGCATCTCCTCATACAGATGCATTGAAACAATGCATTTCTTTGGGAAAAGTTCAGCGTCTCCAGACAGAGCGTGGAGATACTGAACGTCAGTCCTGTACACTGTGCAGCACTGAACCAGGAAGCACCTCTAGTGGCCATCTGAGGAGTTCTGTTTACATTAAAAAGCCTACAGGGACATGCTCTACCCACCAGAACAACTACATTAAGCTGTAGTTGTTCTGGTGACTATAGTGTCCTTTTAAGTAGTAGACTTCACATATTCTCACAAGTAGAGCAAATAAGTGCTTATTCTCAGCTTTTTATGCTGTGCCCCAGTGAGGCATAGGGCTTTTGGGTCCAATCCCAGAGCTTAAGAACCTCTCGCACATGCTGTTTTACATGATTGTACTATGCTATTGTTGTTGAAGAATACTACTAAGTAGCTGTCATATTCCATATTTTCAGAATTATTCCTTGTCAGAACTTGATCAGAAGATTAATGCATTGAGGCATTCTTTACTGCAGAAGAGCAAAAGAGGAATCGGCTCAGAAGCACACAGTATACCCTCATGACCATTGCAACAAATCTTGTTTGATAAGCAATAGCTCAGATATAAAAATCTGGTTAAACAAGCCAGATTGTTATTATAAGTACTTTATTATGTCTGTGCTTCAATATAACAAGTCAAGTTATATATTGATACCAACCATTGAACTAAAGGACGATCAATCTATGGCTTTCCTGCTATAACTAGACTAGCAATCATTCTTGGCCGTCTCATGCTAGTTACAGAGCAAGGAAATTGTAATCACTGACAGTGAGAAAAGCAGCTTGAGGCCATGGTTGTTGGAGAACCCTGGTATGAGGTAGAACCAGTACAGTATTAAATATCCTTTGTCTTTCTCTCTTCATAATGTCCATAGCCTTTACTTTTCATTTTTTATTGAGCTGTAACTGAAGTTGTCCTCTATCTTTACTGCCATTTTTTAAATTCCATATAACGGTGAACCGTGTCGTATGTAATCTGTCCTCTCACTAGAGGGATGACAAATTAGTCTAGAAAGAAGCTGCTGTCATTACTTAAATAAAGGTTGCAAGGACTCCAAGGATTGCTTCAGAACACTAAGCTGCTTGAAGTCCTCACATTTTTGTTAACCTCTTGGTTTTTACCCTTATAGCCACTAATGTCATACCGAAGCTGTGCATGTTTGTGCTGATAAAATACTTGGAAACACTAAAACTAAACAGCACCTACCAGTTGTGGAAGGAATCCGGGTCAGCCCAGACCTGTACACATTCAGAAGTAATAAAACAAATTCCAGCACATCCTTATGAAGCACTGTCCCTTTATTTAGGTGAACAAAGACTACATTTGGACTGTTTGCAATGGTCTTTATCAAGTTTAATGAAGACTGTTGCACTTGTATACTTTTGGAACCTAAATAAAGGGACATTGCTTCATAAGGATGTGCTAGAACTTATTGTTTTATTACTTCTGGATACTATTCTTGGGACTACTCACTGGGGAAAGCTGCTTTTCCTTGTATAATAAGTAAAAAGGACGGTGAAGCACAGGTGAAATAGTTAAAGGTCGAAGTCACAAAACCGGGTCTGTTTCCTAGTACCGTAATCACTCCAATAGGCTGTGGTGCTTATATTGCTTCCAAGATGTGAATCCATGAACGTATACCACATTTTTCTAGTTTGTCTGCTTTGTTTGTATCTTGTAAAGCTTTGTAAGTTTTAGACCTGGTATGGAAACCATGAAGGCTAGACATGGACGCTCCATGTTTTATATATAATTAGATGCTTAACGGTTAGGTTAATGTATGTTTTTGCACGTATTTCTCAAAACCATGTTAAAAATTAAAATAAATCATTAATAAAAAGAATAAACATGTATTAAGACCATTGTTGTTGTTATCTGATCCCTGTACAAGTTTTGAGAACAGTACAAAAGAACACACGATAGACAGTTTTATATAAATTTATATGCAATAACTGAATCAAATAGTTCTAGCTAATGTCAAGAGGGTTTACGGGCCAGATAAGTTTCCGATCGCAGCTTTGTACAAAATCTGGGTCTTTCCCCTTCCTGCGTGGACAGGAAGACATTACAAAGACTTATTGTGGGTGTACGTCATGGGAAAGTGACTAAAGCAGCCCCTAACAGAGCTCTCTAGACCTCGAGGTAGGCAACATTCGGCAATCCAGATATTGTGAACTACATCTCCCATAATGCTCTAACAGCCATAGTGCTTGCAAGCACCAAGGGAAATGTAGGCCAAAGCATCTGGAATACAGAAGGTTGCCTACCCCTATAAATGCTTCCCCTTCACAAGGTTACAATACTATGATGGTGATGGACCAACTTACAAATCACATTTTATTCCAGCACTTTGTTTACTAACTGCACCAAGTAAACTGAGACTCTTTCATAAAGAAGCATTCTGGCTGTATGGTATTCCTAATTAAAGGTAAGAAGCCAAATCGTTGCTTAAAGGGACACTCCAGGCACCAACACTACTTTAATGGATTTCAAAGGTATTGACTTTATTAATATGCTGTATTTTATTTATTTTTGCATGTTCAAATCTTTATAGTTTTTGTGTAAAATAAATAAATGTTTTGCAGAATGCTGTGCCATAATCCTGCCTCTCTAGCCACCACCTCCACTCCACAAAAAGGCTTTCCTTATCAAATGTATGCACCCAGCTCAGCCACACACAGCACTGAGTGATCTGAACTACAAAACAATCTGCATTAGAAAGTATGGAAACCTATAGAGATATCACTACCGGTCTTTAGATTTTTTTGACTGTCTGCAGCCAGGTTGTGAATTAAAAGCAGCTCACTCAGTGCTGATGGGGCTGAGACTGTGAGCATACTTTTGATAAAGAAGTCTTTCTGGGATGAGGGGTGTGGCTAAGAAGACAGACTTACGATGCAGAATACTACATTAGGTTTGATTGTTCACATCTATTGTGACAAGTAGCCTCCAACAAATTAAATTGGTTAGAGAGCCAACCCCATCTGCTATTAATACTTTACTTATAACAGACACTCTGTTCTTTCTTGACCCTGTTGGATGGGGCATGCACAAGATGCTGCCTGGGGCCACCCAGCATTGATTTCCCACCCAGGAGGTGAGAATTTCATAAGCAGAAGGCATTGCAGAATGTCGAGAGCACCTACATTTATTTTCCGGCGCACACAGGATGTGCGTTTTTGCTGGTTAATAACCAACAAAGTTATGCATGAGGCAATGCATTCCATGACAGTCCGACTGCGCAAACGGAACGACGGCTCATGGCGTGAAATTCAAATGGTCTAAGCTATGTAAAGCGCTATTGTGCCTCTTTTGACAGCAAGGCTTCTTGTTATTACAAGAAAGTTGTGTCCACCAGCACCCCATGCAACCCTGATGCCAAATAAGGTTTGAATTTAGCATATTCATCATCTTATTCTGGTCTTTAATTTCTATAGTAAATTACATTTTAAAACAGAGAAGGGAGATAAGATGTAGCCACTACCAACTAAATAAAAGGCATTTATTTTGCGCAGAATGTGCCATTGCCACTACAGGATGGTTGCAGGAAAAAGGTGTGTGATGTCTGTTTACAGGAAGCCATTGAAAAAGCCATGCAAGGGTTGTGAACACTATCATGGTTTCAGGAAAATTTGTCTCTCACCTTCACTAATTTCAAACAAGTTAACATTACAGAAATTGATGCTGGTAGCAGACCAATAAAAAGGTGCAGATCCGGTTCTACACCTGAGCTTTCATCTGTTCACAGAGCTTAGCCTGTTCAGATTCCTCCATTGAGGGTTCTGAGTAAATAAAAAAAATAAAACAGTTTTCTATGGAATAGCTGGGGAAATTAATTTAAGAAGTCCTGTAAGTAGCACAGGATGAAGTTTCAGATGAATCTTTGAATTTGGCTACATGGAATATGGGGCTCTCCTCTTTTTTTCCCCATAGAGCTGTCTGGTTAAAATCCTGGTCGGCTGGCACTGCATCTAAGTCAACACCGTGCGAGCTGTTTCAGGTCAGCCCTTGATGACCTGATAAAATATCTTGGATACCAAGAAAGAACTTCCTCGGGATAGGGGTTTTAAATGGAACAAGCACTTTCAGCCTCGTTACCATAGCAGATATAGCTATAGAGAAGTAAATAACTGCTCCTTTTGCAAATTCAGAGATTACAAACCAAAGGAAAATATTTCTTCATCCAGGTTTGATTAAACCAGAATCAATGTAGGAGGATGACTGAGGCAATTTATGGAAAGAGGGAGTCACTACAGACAGACTTTGGATTCTATCATTCGGCATGGATACAAAATCGGATTTGTCTCAAGACCAAGCCCTCAATTCCTCTGCTCAACTTGTGCAAGGCAAAAGAAAGACTTTATTCTAGAAATTTCCACTAGAGCGGGAGTTCCCAACACATGGTACGAATACAGTGCAGTCACACCGCACAAGCTGGGAACTGCAGGCATTAACAGCGCGACCGGGCCCCTTGTGAAGGGAAAGCGAAAGAGCCGGGCACTTCCTCCCAGGTCAAACAGATACAGCCACGGGGGAGGGAGCATGCCGGTAACTCCTACCAGTAACAGCCAGCAGAAGCTAGGGTGGCTAGAATTGTGACGTGTGTGTTTTGGGTGCCTGGATGTATGTAAGTAGTGTCTGTATCTGTGAGTATCACAGTGTATCTGTATGTTTATTTGTCTGTGTATCTATGAGTGTGCCATTGTTTGTATATGTATGCGCATCTGTGCATACATATACAAACAATGTATGCGCATATCTCCATATCTGCATGTGTGGCAATGTTTGCATCTGTGTGCCTGTGCAACTGCATGTGTGTCACTGTGTCTATCTGTATCTTTGTATCTGTGTGAGTGTGTCATTGCTTAATCTGAGTTTCTATACATCTGTGTCAGTGTTTGTATCTGTGCATCTGCATGGGTTTCTGTGTTTGTTTTGTGTCAGCGATTGAATCTGTGTCTTGGTGTGATTGTGTGTGTGTGTCTGTATGTATGTCAGTGTTTGTGTGTCTGTGCATTTGCAATTATATGTATCAGCTCAACTTTGTGTGTCTGTACATCTGTGTCACTGTTTGGATCTGTGTTATTTTGTGTGTCTGTATCTGTATGTGTGTTAGGGTTTGCATCAGTGTATCTGCATGTGTGTCTATCTGCACTGTGAAAAGCAGGAGGAGCCTGGGGCAGAGAAAAAGGGTAGATGGACCAAAGAAAAATGTATACATTTGAAATAACTATATTAATACCAAATATTTTGCTAATATGAGGGGTACAATTTATGGCATTGGGCTGCCGAGGGGTACAATTTATATAAACGGCCTGCCAATGAGGGGACATACTAAAAGGAATGACAGATTGGAATGCCCATAGACTTTAACAAGGCAGTGGAATGCCCATAGAGAATAATGGAAGTGAAATGAATGCCCATAGAGAATAATGGAAACAAAATATTCCAATTAGAGAAAAAACTATTAGACATATGAAATACATCTTTTGCCACAATACTCTCCAGATTCAGTGTCAATTTTTGAAATTGAGTTTAAGTGGGATTATCATTGTTTTCTATAGAATGACAATGGTGAATGACTAAAGAGAATGCCCATAGACTATAATGGGAAGCAGAATATAAACTCATTTGCAGGTAAATCTGTGTTATGTAGCAAATTTATCTTTACCACATGTGTTCCCCAAGTACAGCAGTAGATTCTAAAATTAAAAATAACTGGGATTATAGCTCTTTTCTATGGAATGACAGGTAAATGATACAATGGAATGCCCATAGAGTATAATGGGAAGCAATATGTGACTTGGAATCTGAACCGTGAAACATATCAAGTCAATCTTTTGCAGGCATACTCTACGAGTTCAGTGGCAATTTTTGAAATTGAGTTTAAGTGGGATTATCATTGTTTTCTATAGAATGACAATGGTGAATGACTAAAGAGAATGGCCATAGAGTATAATGGGAAGTAGAATATAAACTCATTCGCAGGGAAATCTGTGTTACATAGCAAATTAACCTTTGCCACAGGGGTTCCCAGGGCCGGACTTGGAAAAAAATTAGGTCTGGGCATTTTTCAATCAGAGCGGCCCCCTAAGTAGGGGGCGGGGCTAGAGACAAACACGCCCCCTCTCAAAGTGAGCATGTTGGTTCAATGCACAAAGCCCTGCTGAAGAGCTCTAGCATTAGAAAAAGGCCCTGTATTTGTTCTGCGCAGCGCAAGCAAATTTAATAACATGCTTGCGCTGTGTTTGCTTTTAAATTGTCTCTGATGTCTCCACAAGTGGGATACCAGAGGACAAAAGGGCCAGGAAAGCATATGATGCATGTGTTTTGAGCCTGTTTGTGGGATTCTGTGTGTGTAGAGTGTGGTGTGGTTTTGTGTAAATAGGTCAATTTCATTTGTGTTTGTGGTGTAATATGTGTTGCTAGGGGCCGTGTGTGTGTGTAGGAGATCTAGTGTGTAAAGGACTCAGAGTGTGTATAGGAGATTGTATGTGTGTGTGTGTAGAGGATTAAGAGTGCATATAGGGTAAGGGATCTAGCGTGTATCTGGAGCATAAGGTGTGGAGTGGTGCCGTGTGAGGGATGCTGTAGTGTGTGTATATGTATATGTATGTATAAATATATATATATATATTTGGATGTATTGTATGTGTGAGGGGCGCAGTATATGTGTGTGTGTGTGTGAGGGTGTTTTTATCTGCCTTCACATTCTAGGTTTCTAATTTTTTTGTCTGTTAACTCACTGAGGGTTATTTTATTTATTTTATATATATATATATGTGTGGGTGCTGTGAGAGTGAGGGTGCTGTCTCTCTGAGGGAGCAGTGTCTGTCTGAGTGAGCAGTGAGTGTCTCTGAG